CATATTTCCTCGCTGTATTTTCAAGCTGCTCGTAAGTGGATGATGTAGAGTGCTGGCAATCCCCCTGAGCCCCACACTGAATCCGAGAATATTTATAACCGATCATTACCAGGAGCAGGATTAATCTCTCCCTACTGCTTCATTTAAATGAATTTAAGAGACTGAAGAATCAAGTGCAAGTAGCAAAGAATTAAACTTGAAGTGGCAAATTTTACATTTTTATTCATCAAAACAAAGAAAGACTTCAGAATACACACCGCAGACCTAAATAAAACACTTTTTATGTAAGCAAACCAAAGCTTGCATAATGATGAACAATATTAATGTTACAAAACAGATGGGAAAAAATAAGGCCACGTTGCTCAAATATGTTTGTTATCTAAATTATATGCAAAGCAGATGGCCTACTAATTCTGAAAAAGAGACATTATAAATAAATTAGCTGCAAACTTGCATGCGTAGAAAAGCTTTAATGCAAGCATTGTTCATTCCTGATGTGAGACACATTTGTCAGGGAAACGGCTAATCTTGCACTGGAATGGCTGCTGGGTAATTGGGGCGTTCAAGACAAAAGGAATGACATGGTTCTGCTTTGCGTATCTCTGACAAGCACAACACAGCGTTAATGCACTCTAGAGACTGTAGGGAAACCCTCTCAAGGCAGACTTTACTGCGATCAACCGAATATCTTCAGTGAGAGAGCTAAAGCTTATTTCGCTCACCACAGAGATATTCAATAACTTGTATTTATGCAATACTGTACAAAACAGGTTCTTCTCTTCTTTCTGATCTCAGCTCAAGCTGAGCAGAGACTTAAACTTAAGTTCAACTTTAGTCATTTAAATAATCAATTCTAAATCCTTCCTCTGACCCTTTCATCTTCATCACAACCCCTGGCCCCATACAAGACATTAATTCCATATTTCTAACCCTGGGGCAGTATTACAGAAACTTTTTATCTTAATTCTCGACTAAAGATTTGGAAAAGTTCTATTCCCTAAGTGAAATCACCATGGTTAGGATAGGATTCTGAATTAAGGGCCGGTAACACTAGACTTTGAAAATGCAACGTTTCTTCTGCGTTTAACCCATAATAATAAATACAAAAATATACAATCAACTTCACTTTTATGCAAGGCTGCAAACCTGCAGCTGTAAAGTTTGTGTTTTTTTAATTCAGTTACATCTTGGTCTCACATCTTCATGTGATACCAAGGTTATAATAGTTAACTAAAACCAGAAAAATAAAAATTTTCATTATTTCAACTAAAATAAAAATTTTAACAGAAAAAAAACTTGTTTTATTTCAGCTAGTTGCCAAGGAAACATTTCTGATTTTAATTTAGTTCAACTAAGATAACTAAAATAGAGAAATTATATACACACACACACACACACACACATATACATACACACATACACACACACACACACAAAACAAAAATAAGTTAACAAATTATTAATAAAATTAAAAACAAAACAAAAAAAAAACCTTAAAATAAAAAAATGAAAATACAAAATACTAGTATTTCAATGATAGTAAAATAACACTACGTGATACACATTTGCAGGTCAGAGTTCCCCAAACCTTGACTTTGGAACGCAGTGAAATGCAAAACTTCTTAAAATGATCTTGTGTTTCCAGTCTCAGGCATTTGTATATGTATGAATGGAATTAGAATTCATTAGAAATGAAAAGTGTAGTGTGAGGATGTTTCTGTAACACAGCACCAACCACTAGAGTTCTAACTTTGACACTTAACCTAAACCACTTAACCCTAGTTGATGCTTAAATTTGAACCCTAAACACTATTTCTACTATCAGAACGTTTGTGTTAAACAAAACAACACTGGACCCCATTAACTTTCATTGTATAGACAAAAATATAAAAATATCTTGACATGAGGGAAAGTAAATGATGACCGAATCTTTTTTTTTTTGGGTGGATATTCCTTTTAAGAATGTAATTTGCCCACTGTTAGATCCTGTACAACATTTAATAAGTTATCTTGTCACACTTGAGTGAGAAATGCGCTGTGTAGGTTGTACCTTTGACCTGAATGGCTCCGGGAAGCCTCCATGGGGGATGCCGATGTGTCCTTGCAGGAACTCCACCACGGAGAGGGGGAAAGACAACTCATCCGCTCTCTCCTCCACCTCTGCCCGAGTCAGAGCGTTCTGCACCATGAACTGTGCCAGATCGCCCACAATCTTAGAGGAGGGTGTCACCTGAAGGAAGGGGAAGAGAGGAGAAGGACAGATAAGCAAGAAAGGAAAGACAAGCTTGCTTAGGCCTCCATCAATACATCTCAGCTCTCTGCCAGGCTTATCCGCCCTCAGGCCATCTGGCCAATCTAGACTAGGAATAAGAGAGGGGACACGAGTGCAGTGGCAAACAGAAACACAGCTTAGGGAGAAGCAAGGACAAAAGAGAAAAAGAATGGGAGAAAGAGAATGGAGAGGCGCTAATGAAACCCAGTGCTAATGTGTTGTCTGTTAGCTCGGCCTACGATATTGACAATATTAACAGCGAGGGGACTCTGAGAACAGAAAGCCAACTATCTTCGATCATTTAATTAAGCCCAGGGAAATGAAAAGCAGCAAGGCGAGACCAAATGCTTACAGACACCTTTGATTGGAGGAGATCAGTCAGAGCCTCTCTGAAACACAGCAGATAAGCTTTGCTTAAAGCTCTTCCCAGTTGATCTGTCTCTGGGCCATAGGAGACAGGGACAGGATTATTTATTCACTCCTTCTTTCTGCCCCTCTTTTTTGCCAAGTTATTTTTATTCAATTTCATCTGGAGATTGAGACGGTTGCAACGGAATAAGAGGGATGTGGAGGTGGAGGGAGAAAAAAGAGAGGAAAGCAGGCAATTAAATCTGCGATGCAGAGAGGAGCTGTCGGGTCCACGGTGCTCATGATCTTGTGAGCGGATTTCAAGAGTGAGGGTGAGACCCTTCTGAGCGCAGGGGGTGATAATTAAGCCCTATTTAACCTGGCAGAATGTTGCATATGAGCGATTTAAACTGCGTCGATTGTGGTGGTCACGTGACGTGATTACGGTATATGAACAATCTTAAACGTTCCATTCATTGATGGAAAAAGGGGTAAAAACCCAGCACACTTCTGCATGAATCTAAAGAATAAAGCATATTTACTCGTCTCAAATGACTGGCTTCCAACCTTGAATGCAATGAAGGGGTGAAATCTGATTTAAATCTCTGAAAGGACTGATTGTAGACCTAAAACCTAAAAATGATCCGGATTTCACATTATACAGGAAGTAAAGAATATGAAATTGGATTTCAAAGCAAGAAAGCCAGACTGAATACTGCTTAACCACTTATTTCCACTATCTGGTTGAATAACAGTGGTTGCACATCACATAATTTTTTTTTTGCCAGATCGCCCACAATCTTAGAGGAGGGTGTCACCTGAAGGAAGGGGAAGAGAGGAGAAGGACAGATAAGCAAGAAAGGAAAGACAAGCTTGCTTAGGCCTCCATCAATACATCTCAGCTCTCTGCCAGGCTTATCCGCCCTCAGGCCATCTGGCCAATCTAGACTAGGAATAAGAGAGGGGACACGAGTGCAGTGGCAAACAGAAACACAGCTTAGGGAGAAGCAAGGACAAAAGAGAAAAAGAATGGGAGAAAGAGAATGGAGAGGCGCTAATGAAACCCAGTGCTAATGTGTTGTCTGTTAGCTCGGCCTACGATATTGACAATATTAACAGCGAGGGGACTCTGAGAACAGAAAGCCAACTATCTTCGATCATTTAATTAAGCCCAGGGAAATGAAAAGCAGCAAGGCGAGACCAAATGCTTACAGACACCTTTGATTGGAGGAGATCAGTCAGAGCCTCTCTGAAACACAGCAGATAAGCTTTGCTTAAAGCTCTTCCCAGTTGATCTGTCTCTGGGCCATAGGAGACAGGGACAGGATTATTTATTCACTCCTTCTTTCTGCCCCTCTTTTTTGCCAAGTTATTTTTATTCAATTTCATCTGGAGATTGAGACGGTTGCAACGGAATAAGAGGGATGTGGAGGTGGAGGGAGAAAAAAGAGAGGAAAGCAGGCAATTAAATCTGCGATGCAGAGAGGAGCTGTCGGGTCCACGGTGCTCATGATCTTGTGAGCGGATTTCAAGAGTGAGGGTGAGACCCTTCTGAGCGCAGGGGGTGATAATTAAGCCCTATTTAACCTGGCAGAATGTTGCATATGAGCGATTTAAACTGCGTCGATTGTGGTGGTCACGTGACGTGATTACGGTATATGAACAATCTTAAACGTTCCATTCATTGATGGAAAAAAGGGGTAAAAACCCAGCACACTTCTGCATGAATCTAAAGAATAAAGCATATTTACTCGTCTCAAATGACTGGCTTCCAACCTTGAATGCAATGAAGGGGTGAAATCTGATTTAAATCTCTGAAAGGACTGATTGTAGACCTAAAACCTAAAAATGATCCGGATTTCACATTATACAGGAAGTAAAGAATATGAAATTGGATTTCAAAGCAAGAAAGCCAGACTGAATACTGCTTAACCACTTATTTCCACTATCTGGTTGAATAACAGTGGTTGCACATCACATAATTTTTTTTTTATCAAATCATATTCCAATGCAGTTAATATTCAAAATACAGTTATTCCTAGAGTTTTTACATTTTATGAATAGAACTAAAAAGCAGACTTATTTTATCATTATCATGCATGCAGTGTTTATGAGCTCATATTAAATAGGAGACTATATGAAATACTTTTTACTTTTTTTGTATAATAGGCAAGGCAAGGCAATATTTATTAGTATAAAACAAAACATTTTAATAAGTCTGAAAGTGACGTTGACTCCTTGAGTCTTAAAAAGGCGCTATATAATAAAACAATTATCTATTGTTATTATCATCATTAAAGTTTTCATTTGCCACACCAAAAAACATTTAAAATAAACTAGTAAAGGATAAAATAATTCAAAAGGGGGACAGATTGAAGAAAAATTATGAAATCTAAAAATATATACTGCATATAAAATATATTTCTTTCATGGACATGTAACTATCTTTACTTTATCTTTATCTATACCTACCTACTAAAGGCTTGAGTGGATTTTATGCTGCTAATTATATCTTATGATAGATTTCTCAGATGACTGATTTTTTAAAAGCTATAAAGCTGTCTCTTCAGAGATGGCTTTTATTATTTGAAGAGCTAGACTGTTTTGAAGCGATAACGTGCCAGGACCCGACGTTTCAAATGAACTAGCTTCGACAGGGGAAAAAAAATGTAAGGAAAATAAAGAATCTATTCCAGAGCAAAATTAGAGACACAAACATCTATCTTTTATATGTCTAAGGGAGTACAAAGTGGTAGCAGGACGTTTTTAAAATCCAAACTGTCCAACAAAGTCTTTGAATAAATGATGTGAACCAGACGTAACAAGCACAAGTCTAGTAAGAACTGAATATTTTGTATGATAGAGGAATCGGTTACATGTTTGGATGTTACATTTGACCAAAATAACTCAAATTATAATAAAATGCTTTTGAAGAATTCTAACAGATTAACATCAGCAAGCTGGGAAATGGACATGCGTGACAATAAAAGGAATGACTCATAAAACGTAAGCATTTGACAAAATCACGACTCAAGTGTGTGAAACACAACATCTGAGGAAAAGACATCAACCTAATTAGCTAAAAGGTGTGATGTCTTTGGTTACATATAAATACACCAGACTAGAGAAATGTAAATGTCTGTGATTTCAGAGAGACTGAAGATCTGGATTAACATAAGCGATAACAGACATGAAGGGTTGAAGGAGTTTATCATAACAGTTTGCACATTATTGCAACGTGTACTACTGCATTAATATTTTCTATTTGAGTCATCATGTCTAAAACCTTTTAAGTATTATGACATTTCATAAGAAAGGAGCTGACCTGATTTCTCGTCTGGCAATCACTGAATAGTGTAAAAGTGATCGCATACTTTTCAGGATCCTTGGTTCTGAAAGCTTTTTTCATTAATTTTCTCCAAAACGACTCCTATTAAAGAATTCTATGCAAAACCAGCTCAGAGAAGAATTACAACTGACTCAGAGGAGGATTACAAGATTGCAAATTTTGATTTAAAGTAAAAAAAGGACAAAAGTTCTATTTTTTAATTGTAAAATAAAATGTACGTCAAAGTATTCAAATTATATAAACAAATATATTTACAATGCTTCATAGGAGTCAGTCTTTGCCACTTTTTTGCTGTAATTTCTAACCAATTATTAATCAATCCAGGATTATGGCTGTAGTTTGTCACAAATGGGACAACTTGACTGTTGCATTATGGGTATGAGTGAATCCCTATAAAACAGAGATCAAGTCCACAAAGCCCATCACAAATAACTAAAAATAGGTTTGAATATGTAAATAAAGAAAATGTTATAGGGTAATTGCTCACTTTGATGAGGTCACCGAGCAGCTTGTTGGCTTCTACGTAGGCTTTCTTCACCTCCTTAAACTTGTTTCCCAGCCCCATACTGTGCGCTTGAAAGTGGAGATTGGTGTACTGGCCACCTGGGATCTCGTTCTCATAGACATCAGCATTCCCAGACTTCATGGTGGCAGTGCAGTCAAACGGAGCATAAAGGCCTCGGGTCACCTCCCAATACTCACTGTAGTCAAATACCTTCTCAAGAGAGATGCCTGAGAAAGAGGTGTGAGTGAAGTGAAAGAAAAAGAAAAAAGAAAAAAATGAGTAAAGAAAGACGGGAGGAGACATCATTAGTCTACGAAGAGGAATAAGCAATCTGAGAACAAGCAGCACAACAAATGACTATCTGACATTAATATTTAATAAGAAATAATGAAAGTCCTTGTCTCTTTAACAGACTGCACCAGCTAATCAGGCATTCTTCCAAAGCTTTTAATCAGTCATCGAAAGCTCAGCACACGGGGGCCTGTATGTGGTAGAAGCAGGGCATTGGTGGCGGAGCATAGATTGCTTCCTGCCACTCACGGCTTCATCATTTACCAGCAGCAGTCAGTCAATTAATCAATCAATGAGGCGCGCCACTTGCAACAGAGTTTACATGCTCATTTGGCTCCCTCATCCTCACTAATTGCCCATCGCTGTGATCACAATAGTTTTCCTGTGCAAAAGATAACACACGCACAAATCCGTTCTAACGTGTGCACACAAACCCGTTATACAACTGCGGAAATCACAATAACACTCTCATGAAACTAGCTTGCATGCATTTTTCTTCTCCTACTCGCTGCCACCCTGACTACAGGCTATTAGGCGCTATTGATGTTACGGTGTTAAAACGGCATGTCCAGCTCTTCCCATGCAGACAAATCTATCAGAGCACGTCAGTCAGTCCAGGCATTGATCTCTGGCCACACGGCCTTTATCGTGATGAACTGGCTTGAAGAGAAGAGAGATACTTTGGGAGGCAGAGGGACCTGAGCAGGACAACGAGAGATTGATAGAGTGAGCGAGAAAGGCAGATTAAATAATGACAAGGTGAAAGAGAAGGTTGAAGGACAATCGGGAAAATGACAGGATGTTGTATCTATCCATCCATCTAGACGGACTGATAAGCAAACTGAGACAGACAGACTTGGTATCTCTCATTTCACAAATCCTCACTCACATCTTGGTATGTTTTTGTAGGGGCACTTTTAACCTTCATTTTCTCCCTTTTTCTTAACTTTAATTCTGTATAATCCTTTCTTATGGAAATGCATCTAAAATAGGGAAACAACAGATTATATTTTAGTTGTCAAAAGGATGGTTAAATTATGGAAAAGTTCACGGATGGATGGATGGAAAGAGAAATTCAGGGATGGATGGATGATGGAAAGAGAAATTCATGGAAGGATGGCTAGAAAAATACAATAAATGATACAATGATAGAAAGAACGATACAACAATATAAAGAATTATACAAAGTTACAAAAAAAGATACAACGATATGATACAAAGAATGATACAACGATACAAAGAATGATAGAAAGAAAGAAAGAAAGAAAGAAAGAAAGAAAGAAAGAAAGAAAGAAAGAAAGAAAGAAAGAAAGAAAGAAAGGAAGAAAGAAAGGAAGAAAGAAATAAAAAGAAAAACACTATAGGATGTTGTTCAGTCAACAAACTTTACAATGACTTCATTGTAAAGTTTGTTGACTGAACAACATCCTATAGTATAGATTTGCAACAAATTGCTGTCCGTGTTTGATTTAACATATTTTTACATAAGTGCCACATTAGAGTCAATTTGCAGGTTGTCATAACACTCAGCAGGTCTTGTTTTTGTCAGCTGTGCATGAGAATCAACACATAACGTGATACTTCTTGCTGTGTAAAGGTGGCTATATGGTTAAATAGAGGCATGACGGAAAACACCAATCACAATACAGCACGCAAACAGATGCAAGAAACAAGACCAATTGGAACTCAGTATGCAAATAGTATGCACATGCAAATTTTAAATGGTAAACATTCGATCAATGTAAGTTTGTTTGATTTTTGGTCTGTATGTTGAGAGGTTCAGGCGGAGGTTCAGGAGGAGGATAGAACAAATGGAATGTTTGGGGAATATCAATACAGTGTTGCCTTGCGAGTGCTGTAATAAGTATTAAGCGTTTGTCAGCGCTGTCTCTTTCTCTTCATATCAACACATACGGCAGCTTGTTTTAAAAAGCTGTAAACAGGTGATTAATACTGGATGTTGCATATGGCAACAAAACAGTGCAAAGAGAAACAGAGACTGCAATAACATTGCCACAGGAAACCTGACAGCCTCCAAACAATTCAATTACCTAGGTAACACCTCCAGGAGCGAAAACCAAAGAAACACAGGGTAGTGAGAATGAGGGGGTACGGCTGAATCTCGTGGGAATGAAACAAACTGAATTAACAAAAACTGAACACCTCCTCATCATGTGAGCTCTCTGATGCATCTCGTACCGCCAAAGTCACACACCCACGCCATGTGGAGCTCCAGAGGAGGGGGTTGTTTTATAAATAAAAGATAGACTTTCATAGAAACAACAATCAGGGTTTTCCAGTATATTAGTGCCACAGCTCACGTCTCTGTGCTTTATTAATGTGACGCTTGGTGGCTTAATTAGAAAGCCTAGATTGTAAATTATATTAGCTTACAAAGCCTGTATTTTATTAACTGCTTTCGATATTTGCCAATATATAGTCGACCACTTATTCTAAGTGGGCTGATGTACAAAATATTGGTACAGGGTTTCTGCCAGTTATATGAAAGTAAATTTAAGACCGAATTTCAAGATATAAATGTTTTGCCACGAGTTCAACATTTAATGCCATGACTTTATGATTTTAAGACTTTCTGCTCTGATTTAAGATATTTTAAGCCCTTAAATTGTGGAAGGCCATATGAAAACTTTATAAGAGCTCTATAAGGCTCTTGGCTGGTATTAGAGATTTTTTTATTTATTTATCAGTATTGGTTGATATTGAAAACATGCTCATTTATTATATTTCCAATTTAATAACACTGTTAAATATAATTTTTACAAAATCTCAAAATGAACATCAGTTTTTCATACTGTACATTATAATGTCATGATGCCTAAATTCACTTGTAGCATTTAAAACTATTGATTTTGGCTATTAACATGTTATTTTTAATTTAATTAGAAAAAAATATTACTGCATTATCATGAAAATAATTATCAACCTATTAGCATTGACCAGATTAATAATACCTATGTAATAATCCTTTAGTTGTAGAGAAACAATATCCACAAATGAATGTTGATATTCAGCACAATAGCACTTTTCCTTGAGTGATGTTAATTATACAGTCAACAGGATGTCAGAAGTGTTGACATTTGCTGTGGCAGTATGAAGCAGCCTTAATGAAGTAGATCTTCATGCCATTGGTCACTACAGCGGCAGGTGACGCAGTGACCCATGGTTGGACAGATGGTCTCCCACACCGACCACACTGAAAAGTCTCTGGCCACAAACACACACACCCTACTGCGAGAAGGCCTAACGGGGCACGAGACTCATCAGTGAAGGTTAAGCACCAGCAGCCACAGTAATGTCACAATTAAGGAAAGGTCTAGAGGTCAGCCACCAACATCCAAATGATGTCTGTCCGCACTGACCCTTCTCTCTACTTTCTCTTCTCCTCCTTTCCAGAGCTGGCTGGTCGTGCTGTTATCATTTTTTTCTATTTCTTTCATTAACACTCCTGCCATGCTTTGTTTGCTTTTCTTCTTCTTTTAGCTGACTTCCCATGACCTCATTCGCCCCCGGATTATGAGGAAGGGGAAAGAAATATTAAGAGAATAAAAGTGTGGGAGAATTTGCATAAAATGAGGCACTAGCTGAAAAATAATGTAAAACAGGTGAGTTGAATATTAAATAGCACAAAGAGGATTTTGGGTTGAGGTAAGAGCTTCACAACTGCAGAAGGATGAGAAGTAATTGTTCATGAAAATAGCTTTTATAACAGAAGAATGTTTACATCATGTTCTCTTTAACATACGACCTGGAAAAAGAGTGATGGGCTGTATCATGGAAACTCAGGCAAACTAAAAGAAATGAGGAACTGTTATATGCACAGAAAACAACAGAAAACAAAACAACCAATTAATCACTCTAAC